TGGATACGTATAATGCTCTCACTCACAAAGCAGAAGCTATCTGATTCGCAAGGTTTTGTTTTAGATATAATGTAGAGCAAATTCAATTGCTTTCAGACGTTCAAAAGCACTTTTTTTTATTCATATAACAAAGTATTAAGCCAAGTTGCATAAAAATCGTGAGAAATTTTAAGAATAAGAAAAAGTTGGGAGAAATATATTGTAAATCGGGTTGGCGGGAGAGCGGTCGAAAATCGGGAGTCTCCCGCCTAAATCAGGAGAGTTGGTAACTCTGTTATAAAACAAGACGACTACTGTATATTAAATACAGTACACATTATACTACAGGTGCACATTATACGCCATAATATACCGTATATTATGGCGTAGGCGTATAATGTGCACCTGTAGTTTCAAAATACATTTTTTAATTTTTAGGTATACATACTGTATAACACACACCCTTTTCTTTATGAAGAAACCTGAAAAATACATGTGTTATGCTGGTTATCTTATGTGGAAAAAGATATATAATATATGCATATATCAAAATATTCAAAATTATGTTAATCAATCAGTCATTGTACACTAGACATTGTATGCTTAAAGTGAATGAAAAGCGTACATAATGAAAAGTTTCAACATAAATTTTAAGCACATTATTTAGCAGGTTTCAACCAGCATTGCTACTATTTAGGTAACATGCTTTCTCATCCTGCCAATAGTATGAAAATCTTTCCTTGTTGTCTACATAATGATTTTGCTAAAGCATATTTTAAGCCACTCAATCTTAAAAAATAATGTATGAATTTTATTACCTAAAGATGCATTCATATGTATGCAGTATGTGTGATGCTATTATCTTCTGAAGTCATTCAACAGAAGATTTTTCGCAGTCTTTCAAACAATGGTATACTGAATTGACAAACGATAAGGGGAACAATATGTACATGGGGGACAAGTGCTTGACAAACGAAATCTGCACAAAGGGCTGGTATTTAATGCAGATGCGCAGAAGATTGGTATTCTAAGTTCTCAAGAAAAGGGCGACATAATTTGGGATATGACTGGAATGAATTCACAGAATAGTCTTATCTTCCAGTAGTAATTCGAAGCCGTGATTTTGAAGTGAACATTGACGGCTTTTGTAAATCGCATTTGCTTTATCTGAAGTGCAATCTATCTAATATTCCTTTTAGTAGTAAATATGGCTCCAGCCAAACGAAACTAACATAGTGCTGGTTTCAAATGCAAAGCCATTCATTTTGTGAACAAAAAAATGGAAATCATGCGCAGCAAGGATGTCTCATATTAGTGAAAGCTCCACACTGAGCATCCACTCAAATAATATGGTGTAATAAAATGGCCTATCCTAAAAGCAAGTCTTGCCAACTGGGTCCTATAAAATCACCAGATTTGCTAGTAACAGCATTTAGATACATGTAGAAATCATTTTTTTTATGCTCATCTTTTCCTTATTAAACCTATCTTTTTTTTTTTTTTTTTTTTATATATATATCTGGTGTATAGCGAGCACCCCTAAATTTCGATCTCTTTTTGTATTAAAAGTGCACGTTATATACCGGAATATATGGTACATATTATTTTGAACCCATCAATAGGACACTCATTTTGCTAGGTCATGCCCGCTCAATATAAAGTGCAATAATCTGAAATGCTCTGGAATCAAATTTTAATTTCACCTGCTAAGAAATAAGGACGGGAACATAAACAACTAAGATATATTACTAATACTAAAATACTTCATGCTGAAAACATTTTGTACATGCATTATACTCTAGATGAACAATGCTTGCCCATTAGAGAGAGGCCTGATTCATCGAAGACTGTACATAATAGATACTGCTTGTTAGGCAGCACACCTTATTCAGGGGGTTGCATTCATCCATGAGGGTTGTGTGCTCTTAATGCTAATGCCTGGCTCTTGCCACACGATTTTGGCATATTTTGCTACATCTAACGTTCACCGCTCACTTCTTGTTCACCAAGCCTATGCTGTTCTGCATTGTTTCGGACATTCTAAAAATAATTATGATGATAAAGAGTTCTATCAGGCTCTCAGAAATGTTGATGTTTTACAAAAGCAATTAAAAGATGGTACGCCTGTCAAAGCAGCCTTACGAAGAGCAAAGATTTTCCTTGCTATCTTGGATGGAAAGGACTTAGGAAGATCGCTGTTTCATGATATGAATGATGTTAAGTTCTTTCCCAAAGATGATAAGTTTACTACAGAACTTGTCCGGAGACAGAATATGAGAACAAATAAGATGTCAGTGAAGTCGCTGTCTGCTGCTTCTTTGAGCAAGGCAGATGCTAAAAATACTGTGAAATCACCTGATGATGAAAGGTGGTTAAAAACCACAGAACCAAGCTGATTCCAGCTTCAAGTCCTGAAACAAGGAAATCTCCACTCCAGATGACTCTTGCTCTGGTATTAGTCACTGATATTTCTACAAAAAAATAACTTTGATGTGCTGACTGATCCTCCCATGATGGAACCCATGGACTGTGCTAATGACTTACTGACGAAGGATGACAATTGTGAGATTTCTTCAAATCCCTTGCATGAGCAGAAAAAAGAAAGAGTGCCTCCAATAATATATTCCAGACTAGAGGTAAAATGGAGTGATTTATGATGACTCTTTACTAAACATGGAGTACGGAATTTTACTGGTATGCTGACAAGAGATAAAATTACTATTATTTTTTACTCTGCTAAATATTGCGATCTTGCATTGACTAAACTCATGAAGAACTAGGTACAGTTCAGTACTTTTAGAATGAAGAATGAAACACTGCTAAAGTATGGATTCGAGACCTTATGGATGATTTGTCCATTGATGATATCAAGACTGAACACTGTGAAATCACTGAGCCGGGTGGTGCAGCCGTTTGCAACCAAAATATGAGGTGCATATCTTCATTACTCATTTTTGAGTTATGCAAGATACATACAGATGCCACGAAAAATTCTCTTCAGAATTCATTTTAAATCAGTTTTATAATTTTTTTTTGGGGGGGAAAGAGTCTTTTATTCTGTCCTTACATTCTGATGCCATGCAAAAACATCGTAAATTGCCTTCAATAGCGGTCAAATGGATATTTTCGTAGAGATATAATGCCTCAAATTTTTCGCAATTACAATATTTCCTTGAAGCAAAAATCACCTAATATACTTTTCAACAGTAACTTTACTTACATTTTATTTAAATCTCTCTTTGCGTGCTTTCAAACTTTAACGGTTACTCTTCGATCTCACATCCTTTTATATCTATGAATGGCAGTCTATGACCTAAATTTTACTTCCCCCAAGGGCAGGCCTTTTTGCAAAAATTTAAGCAAAGATGAACCCAGCACCTGGCACAAAGAGAACGAAATAAGATTCTGCAAGCCATGGGCCTTTTATTGCTCTTGAGATTTATAGCATTTGTTTATAAATAGCAGGATGTGAATTCATGTAATGACAACCAGGAGATGGAATTCACGTCAGAGGCAACCAGGAACAGAATTTGAAGTCATGCGAATTCACATCCGCCACAAACATGAACAGAATTTCAAATGACATGAATTCATGTCACTGGTCACAAATGTGTTAATACACATATATAGGATAAGATATCAAAACAATGTGTTCAGTATGCGCCTCTACCCGTTGCCAAAAATAGGCTGCTGTCTTGCAATGAAATATACCAGACCTTTTCTCAGCAAATTATTCAATATACTTTCTCCTGTATCAACCTGGCCAGTTTGAAACACTACAGAAGACCTCATTATTATTGCTCAAGATATCATACAATACTCAATTTTGAAGAATATCTTCCATATCTTTGCAAATGTAATCAGTTATCTTACATAAGTATTCTAATACATTTATTTCAATTAATAAACTCAATTCTTTCTTTAAGTAACATTTTAACATGGATAATTGTTTATTTTAGAACTTACTCAATATATGAGTAATAATAAAACATGTTATGCTCAATTCACACAAAATTTTCTTTTTCATATAATTATGTTATTCCCGAATAAGAACTGAAGAAGAAAATTTATTTATGAAATCTGAGTAAGACATTGAACACAAATGCTAATAAAAAGAGCCCTTCCACAGTGGCACATACTATTTTTGAAAACACATCAAAGAAAATAATAAAATCAAGCACATTTAAAAAATAAGCACATTTTTTATTAAATAATCTCAAGCAAACATTTTGCACATTCACATCGCAAAAGAAGAGAGAGCACATATCTTAACTGAAAAAAGTCTGAAAAGAAAATTATGTTACTGAAGTTAGGTTAAGAATAACAATGTTACTATCTTTCTTAACAGATGATAATAGTACTGCATTATCACAATTGGTTTATAAGAGTTTTGATTTGAATAGTACCAAGTAAAAAACTTCAATTTTATTTTTTCTATTATGTAAATGTGTCCACCACTTATGTTATATACAAATCATAGGACAGCTACTAATTTTGAAATGATATACTTTAGAAAGCTTTACTGCAAGTCTTACTATTTTTAGCCCAGAAAAAGGAAAATAATCAAATGAAAAGACTAGGAGCTATTATAAATTAGAGCCCCCCTCGTGTGTATGTTAATTATTCATTTGTTGTTATCTATCCTCAGTAAGCTTAAAGTAAGAAGCATTGTAATGAAGAATAGTACAATATTCAAAATAGTTCAAGACATATTTCAAGAAAACTGCATATAAAAACCTTAAATGAAAACTTCTGCAAATAATAATGCAAAAATATTTTAGAGGAAAGAATGCAAGCATATAACAAAATTTTTCGGAAAATTAATATAATGGATATTTTGCCTCAATGATCCATTCATATAAAATTGTTTCAAAGCGCTGTTTGATAAATAGGAACTTAATTTAGAAAGGACTATGGCAATTCAAATAAGTCATCTTATTTAAAAAGGACTAAACTACTTCAAATAAATTATTTACAAAATTTATATTGTTTTACAAAATATAATTTTAAGAAATATCTACCTGTATATCATCTAAAGTGCCTGCCATCACTCTAGTGCTCTTTGTGACTTGCTGAGTAATAGTTTTCTCTTGATTCATACTAGTTTTGGAGCTTTTTGTAGAAGTTACACTTTTATCTGGAGATGTTGTCACTTCCGTACCTGATATCTGCTTACTCGTCGATGTTGTTACCGAGCTAGAGGCTGAACTTGTTGATTCTGTTACTAAAGTTGGTCCCTTCCATCCATCTGATACCTATGCCATACAAATAAAAATATTAGAATCAATTAAATTTTGAATTACAGAGGGTAAAAAATAAATGAAAAAAAATAAATAAATTTTGAAAATGTTCATAACGTTTAATTCCTAACCAAAACAGCATTTAGACTAAAACAGTCAGTTCAAGATACATAAAAAAAAAAAAAAAAAAAAAAAAAAAAAAAAAAAAATGCATTTAATAACACTAGAATATCAAGATTTCAGAGCTTTAGAAGAGCCAGTGAATCTCTAGATTAGCATCTCTAAACTTGAATCAAAATGACTCCCTTATTAGGAATAGAATAGTAGACATAGTGTTCTTTCAAAATACTACAATTATATACAATTCATATAATTCTGGGATTACTATTTAAGTGTTAGCAAACAGGAGTTAATTAATGCAACAGCTTTCATGTTAATAGTATACTCATACTTATGAAAATATTGGGTAACAGAGATTGTTAAACTGCAATGTATTATTTACTAATCTTATTAATTTTAAAGTGTACATTACCTAATTTTTAAAACAAATTATTCCTTGAAATATATATTTCTAGAATTGTATTTTTTCTTGCAATGGAAGCAAGAGAGGAGGAACATGAAAGCTTGAGATGCCATCCTCTGAAAAGTTATGATCCAAAATGGAACAGTATTAGGAAATAGGCTATGCTGTTCCCAGGTAAGAACCTAGGTACAAGAATATCAACTAAATATTACTCTCACTTATGATTTTTCATGAGTTTGTTGATATGGAGATGGAAGTGACAAAATTTCAGGATTTACTGAATGTACTGCAAGGTAGTTTTTGAATGTATTTTAATTAAATATATACCATCCTGTATTATCTTTAATGAATGAAGAATGCTGCAACACTCACTCTTCTTTATTATATATGTGGGATTTTAAATCCATAGCTTAATATTTTTCCTCGTGCGCTGTCTAAATTTTAGCTGTTGAACTGCATGAGTGAAATTGATAGAACTCTTGCCACTTTGTTTTATTAGTGGAGATGTAAGATGTTGTTTTATAGATGTAAGATGATATAGATGCTGTATTAATAGACGAACAGATCTTATAGATGTATTAATATTTTATTAAATGTGTTTTGTTTGAATATGAATTGTGATTTCAAAACTAAAGAACCCACAAAATTGGTGTCAGAAGTGAGATCAAATTACAAACAACAAATAGAGGAATATTAAGCAATATTGGATGAAAGAAGGAATACTTCTGTTAATAGTGAAATCGATGCATCAACTGCTCGAATTTTCAACGACTCTTTCTTTTGCTGCTGTTGAAGATCATGAGTTAAAACAAAATATTAGTAAGTCATCAGTTAAATTTCCATTTTCACAGTTTTCAAATATGTATATAAATTTTAATGATATTGAAAGTTTGATTTCTAAATTTGATAGTAATGCTTATAATTCGGTTGACAAATTCACTGAAAACTTTGAGGATGAATCTAATTTGTTAAAACTATATCAATTACAGAAACTGATATTTGCCAAAAGATCTTTCAACTGGTAAAGCAAAATTATTTATTGAAAGTGAAACGAAAATTAATTTGTGGAATGCACTTAAGGCTTTATTAGTAAATGAATATGGTGTTCAGTATAACTCTGCTCAGTTACACGAATTATTATCGAAACGTAAAATGCAGGAAAAAGAATCCCTACATGAATATTTTTTGGTAATTAAAAATATGTGTTCTAAAGGTAATATTGAAAACGCCGCTTTAATGGAATATGTTATTAAAGGTATAAATGATTCTACATTTAATAAAGCTATTCTTTATGGTTGTAAAACTTTGGCAGAATTTCAGGAAAAACTTAAGATATATGAAAAAATTAAATTAGATAATGATAAAAACAAATTCGTTAAGCCTAATTCTAAAATCAGAAGCGATCATTTTGAAACTAAAATAAAAACAAATATTCGTTGCTATAACTGCGGAAATCTTGGTCACGTGGAGAATTTCTGCAAAAATAAAAGCAAGGGAAAAAATGCTTTCATTGTAATTTATTTGGACACGTAGCTGCAGAATGTATGAAAGTTAAGAGAAATATAAAAGATCTTGCCACAGTGAATCATATATTTGTAAACAAGCAGTTGAATGATATGCATAAAACTGTATCGATAGATAATGTAGAAAATAAAGCTTTGATTGATACAGGAAGTGATATAAATATAGTATCGGAAAATATTTATAAAGTAATTGGTTCACCTAATATTAATTCTTCTGACTTGATTCTAGTAGGCTTTGGTAATAATAAAGTAAAGCCTATTGGTTATTTTAAAGGTTCCATTCGCATTGATGATTGTGAAATTAAATCAAATATTTATGTTGTGCCTCAAGGAATAATGAAAGAAAATGCTGTTATTGGAAATGAATTGCTTTCGCAAATGGAAATTATTATAAACAAGAACGGCATATCTATGAAAGTAGCAGAAGATGAAAAGGAAGACGAAAATGAATCGAATTTAATGTATGTAAATGTAGATCAAGAAGATGCGTTAGATAATTGTTCGGATATTAATAAAGCATGTGAGTCCAAAGTAAAACACTTAACTGAAAATCGTATTCTTAATAAAAGTGAAAACCCTATAGAAGGAACAGATGTAGTTGAAGATGAATTAAAGGTAGAGGAGTCTCAGGAAGAAAAACGTGATGTTAAAAGTGGGAAAGGAAAATTGCAAAATGTAGAGGATAAAAAGAATTTAATTCTTAAACAAAGAAGAAAACATCCACCTAAGAAAGTTGAGGAAATCAAAGAGAGTAATAGAAAAATTAATGATTCCAAAAAACCCACTTCAGAGCCAAGAAGTTCTAGAAAAGGAAAGAATTCAAAATCTGAGAAATTGGTTGAAGATAATAATAGAGAAACAAAAATATCAACAACAACAACAACAACAAAAAAAAAAAAAAAAAAAAAAAAAAAAAAGAGTAAACAGCAAGAGAGACTTCCAGCTGAAGAACTGGATCCTGGTATGTCTGAAAAACTGAAAGGAACAAAAGCCAAAGGAAAACCTACTAATACCGAAATGCATGTTATTTTAAAAGATGACCAACCTATTTCTTCAAGACTCAGAAGTTTACCAATTATAGACAAAGAAAGTAAAGAAAGTGTCCGACTAATACAGGAAAAAACTATTTTACAAATGGATTTGGATGCTAGATCTTTGGAAAGAAAACTTTCTGTATCAGAACAGACTGTAGAAATGTTACAGAAGCAACTATCAGAAGCAAAGAATGAAGTAAAAGCTGCAAAATTTCAGATGAAAACCAAAAATAAAATCCTGTCTGAGAAAGAAATAGAAGTTCAACATGTTAAACTGAAAATGCAAGAAAAGCTACTTTTTGAAAAGGATCGCATGAGAAAAATTATGGAGAATAGATTATTTGCTAAACAAGCAGAATTGGAAAGAAAAATGTGTATCACTCGTGAAGAATTTCGTCGTTGCGAGAAATTCTTAATGCTGATGATTGGGATATTACAGAGACCTGTGGGATGCTGCTGCTGTTCTAACACCATCTAGTGTGACTTCAACTTACAAATCAACTAAAGATAAGGCAACGTCATATAAGAGGCATAAATCTTTCCTTGAAGAATCTTCTGTCCCCAAAACAAGATTTCCTAAAGCAATATCAGTTAATGTAAATTAAAGTTAATTACTTTTATTTCAGTTAATGTTATTTTTAAGATGAAATTAAGTTTTCCAAAAAATGTCAAAGATTGAAGATATTTTTTGGCTTAGATGAAGATTTCTGAAAAACAGAAGGGACTGTTGAGGATGTTATAGTTGCAAAGATGAAGGACAATTAAGATGTTTCCTTTCAATATTGTCCTTAGCACACAATCTTCCCCTCTCCTTTCGTATTTCTTTTCAGGTTTCGGCTTATTCATTGTGATGGTTCTTTTACCAAAGACAACGAAGATGTAAGATGATCAATGATTTATAATATCAAGAGTAGAATAATGTCGTTGAGGTCAACGCATAGCAGGAAGGCCGAATGTGGGATTTTAAATCCATAGCTTAATATTTTTCCTCGCGCGCTGTCTAAATTTTAGCTGTTGAATTGCACGAGTGAAATTCATAGAACTTTGTTTTACTAGTGGAAATGTAAGATGTTGTTTTATCGATGTAAATGATATAGATGCTGTATTAATAGATGAACGATCTTATAGATGTATTAATATTTTATTAAATGTGTTTTGTTTGGATATGAATTGTGATTTCAAAACTAAAGAACCCACATTATCAGGCAGATGATTTAGTATTATCATCTGCCTTTACAAATGGAAGGTGGAAAAAACATTGAAAAATGTTTTGGAACTGCTAAGTCTATTTAATTTCAAAGAAATAAGATATCTATAGATCACTGCTTGCATGGCCCCTTTCAGAACTTTAATATTTTTCAGCATAACCCTAATTAATGACAAAAGCATTACTCAAATAACAGATCCATTATTCATGCCCTTACAGCATTAGTGATAGCTGCAAAATATTTTGTATATTTAAAATCAATTGCTATAAATTTTAATACACTGAAACTTAAAATAATTCTGAATCACAGAAATTATTTTAAATAAAAAAAATATGAAAGCTTTCAGATTTTATATTACGCCCAAAGGAGCTTTTTTTAACGTTTTGTGACTGTTATCTTTATTTATTAAACATAATGCTCTTTGCACTTAAACCATAAAATTCAATCCAACAAAAACATTGCAAAATATTTAAAAGCACATACCTTTAAAATTTCTGATACACAGTCTTGTGCGCTGGAGATAAAACTGTCCGCACCCCCTCCCCTGGTACAGTGTTGCTATTGCTCGCTCAAAAATCATTGAGTTTCTTAAGCAAAAACTCATAAATGCTTTACAAAATATGAAAAAAAAAGAAAAAAAAAAAAACCTCCAAATTCTAAGTTTGGGCTTCCAGATGCCCATATTCGGGTGGGGATGTACATTTTTCAAAATTTGACGACTCTAGGTACAATTGTTTTATCACAACGCGAGAAGCATACATATATTTATGCAGATACTTCATTATTTAATTTCTTTAAATATACTAATATACATTAAATATAATGTTTAATATTCGGTGGCAACACAAGTGATTGATTCACCGTTTATAGTGAATCGATGCAAAATTCCAACACTAAATTAATAGCTCTTCTGAGCTATTGCTCCTTTGGGCTAAAAAACAAAAGATATGTTTCACTTTTAAACATAATACATTATAACAATAAATGCACTCTATTTCATAAAAACATGTTGATTTAAGAAATAAAAGCATTTTGCGACATCAGACAGTTTCTTATCATCTTCAATATAATTTGATTTCTTTTAAATTTTCATTTTCTATAGCTGCTGGCACTGCACATCCAAATTTGTAACATTTAAGTAATTATTTCTCTTATTAAAATTACAATTTATTATAATCACTTAAACACTTCTGAGTGTATACTATACTGCTTTTGCTTCTTGATAAAAAAAATCAATATGCTGATATTACTTTTTTCTTCTGAGCTATTGCTCCTTTGGGCTAAAAAACAAAAGATATGTTTCACTTTTAAACATAATACATTATAACAATAAATGCACTCTATTTCATAAAAACATGTTGATTTAAGAAATAAAAGCATTTTGCGACATCAGACAGTTTCTTATCATCTTCAATATAATTTGATTTCTTTTAAATTTTCATTTTCTATTGCTGCTGGCACTGCACATCCAAATTTGTAACGTTTAAGTAATTATTTCTCTTATTAAAATTACAATTTATTATAATCACTTAAGCACTTCTGAGTGTATACTATACTGCTTTTGCTTCTTGATAAAAAAAATCAATATGCTGATATTACTTTTTTCTTCCACTGGCTCCAAGTTTAAGCTGGAAGATTTCTGTAGGATTAAAAAGTCTATTTAATTTCAAAGAAATAAGATATCTATAGATCACTTCTTGTATGGCCCCTTTCAGAACTTTATTTTTCAGCATAACCCTAATTAATGACAAAAGCATTACTCAAATAACAGATTCATTATTCATGCCCTTACAGCATTAGTTCAATCCTTGCAGATTTTCAATAACAGAAGCTTTGATTTTTTAAGAAAAAATGAGAACTGAGCTGCTACCCCAGATAAAAAGAAATGGATGTGGCTTCAGTCACATTAATTCTCAAGATACTAACAGACTTGGTTATTATTGTTACAAACAAAGGATTTATTGCCTCAAAGAATTACTTAGAATAATGATGACAAAGCTTTCAGAAGAAAAATAAAAATTATATAGAACTATGAGAAACTGAACAACTTTTTTTCCTCTCACATAAACTAAATAAACCCAGTCAAGCTCTATTCCCCCCCCCCATCAGACCCTGATTTTGGCTCACAAAAAAAATTAAAATTATTTTTAGTTTCAGAAAATAAACTTATATATCAAAATTTCACTAAACGGGAATACTAAAAATCTAAGCCAACCACATGCGCAAACTATTTTGAAATAATAACAGTAATAATAATAATAATAATAATAATAATAATAATAAATGAATATATTAATCAAACTTATAAAAACTAGAAATATTTTTAAACATATCAACCTCTATGTGTAGATCAGGAGACATCTTGCCTGCTTTATCCCCATGACGCTTGCCACTCGGGCTTGAATATGGAGATTCATCTAGTTCTAATACAGCAGTTTCAGAACTGAAGGAAACATCTTTAACATTTCCAGGAGGGAAAGAGTCAATATTGTTTCGTAAGGAACGATTTGGTGTGGAAGTTACTAAACCTTGGGCAGTATCAACACCATCATCACTGGTCACATTAGTGCCATACTCAATCATACTACCTTCAGATGAGCTACTAGACACTGAAGATGAATCTGAATTCTTTTTGTTAGTCTTTTTAGGGCTTTTTTTGACAAGTTTTGAAAGAGAAATTTTTGACTTTTTAGATTTTGGTTCTTTCTGCAAGCTCTCCTTGCTTTTACTTTTGATGTCTTTCTCTTTCTCTTTATTACTATCTACAGCCTCAACTGGCTTAGAATCCTGCACAACCACTTTTTCTGGAGATTCTTTGATTTTATCTTTTTCAGGAGTTGCATCTTTATCTTTTTTATTCAACTTACTATCAGATTTCTTCTTTTCAGACTTCTCCTTTGCCTTCTTTTCCTTTGCTTCTTTTTCTTTTTGTTTCTTTTCCTCCTTAGCTTTTTTCTTAACTGCCTCTTTTTCTTCTTTTTCTCTCTGCTTTCGTCTGGCTTCTTCTTCCTTTGCTTCTTTCTCTTTTAGTTTTTTATCAGCATCTTTTTGTTTCTTTACATCATCTTTTGCTTTTTTCTTCCCATCTGCATCATCTACATCTTTAGATTTGCCTTTTGCAAAAGCAAATTTCAATTTATTTTCTTTCTCTGCCTGATCTTTCACTACTTTTTCTTCCTCATCAGATGCAATATTCTCATCTAATGCTTTATCTGACTTTTGATCTTCTTTTATATTTGCAGATGTTACAACTATTTCATCTACCTGCAGATCTGCTTCGATGGCTGAATCTCTCTTGTTGGGTGAATTTTCAGTTGATATTTTGCCTGATTTGGTTACTTTTTTTGACTTTTTCTCTTTTTCTTCCTTTTCCTTCTTTTTCTCTTTCTCTTCCTTTTCTTTTTTTTCCTTAGATTTTTTTTCTTCTTCTTTTTTATTTTTCTTATCTTTTTCTTTACCACCTTTCTTAAAAATAGCAATTGGTAATTTCTGTTTTTGCTCAGCCTTTTCGGAAATTTCCAAATTTTCTTTATTCTTAATCATTTCTTCTTCTTTGGAATCATCCCATTTTAGAGATTCATCAATAGTTGTATCATTCCATTCTGATGATACATCCTGAGTTCTATTATCATCTACAACTTGAGGTGGTAATATTACTTCAGTCTGTGAATTGTCAATCTCTGTTTCTGGTGGAGCATAAGTAAAAGCAAGACCTTTAGCTCGCTTACTTCCTGGAGATGTTTCAAGCTGAATTGTTTCACCAGGAGGTGGAGAAGTATTCCCAGTTTTTTGACCTTCATATGTAAAGCCATGCTCAGCTGGACTAAATGGTGTCTTCTGTTCATTGGTATTAACTTCATAAATATATTCTTTTGTGTACGGGGTAGGTTTACCAGTGAAAAGTGAAGTTGGCCTTTGAGCTTCTTCCCTACCAGATTCTTTTTCTCTAAGAGCAACTGAATCAGGTCCCTGAGCATTGACTGTCTGTTTTTGAGCAGTTGGTGAAGAAGGAACTTGTTCCCTGCACTGAAAATCAGATCAATTCAAACAAAAATTCACGATCATGCAAAAGGGATGATGTTTTCCAGGAAAGGTCAATGGGAAGTCATTGTCATGCAAAGGGAAAAAAAAAAAAAAAAAAAAAAAAAAAACCCAAATTAGAAACAAAAATAAATAAATAAAAAATATTTATACTTTCTAAACTAACATGCGTAACTCCTATTACATGAAAAATGTACTACTATAGAAAATATAAATAAAACTTTTACGAACCTAATAAAACACAAATGCATACCTAACATAACAGATCAAAATGTTATTACTTTTTCATATATATTATTTACATAAAATATTTAACACTTTAAAATTTCCTAATTCACTTTACTTCTGAAAGCTAGCAATACATCAAAATAACAATTAAAAAAGAAAAGAAAGAGAGAAGAAAAGGAGAAATACCTCTTCAACTCCTCTTTTATAAGGCTCTTGGTTTAAATTTTTTACTTCAACTTTTTCTACAACTTCTGGAGGAACAGGGGATTTTCCTCTACTGCCAGGTTTGGGTAAATCCATTGGCAACATCACTGCTACCCCACCAACTGGTTTCTAAACAAAAATATTACAAATGGTTAAATAAAAATAAAAATTGCAGCATAAAAGACTTTTATGGTGAAATAACACATAACTTCTATTATATATTTCAATAAGAATGCATTTTTAGTTTACTAGCACATTTCAAAATTCCCCTTTTTTAAAATTTACATTAGCGCATTTTGTTTAAATATAAAATTTGTATGATAATGTATGATATGTTGTAATTTGTATGATATGTAAAAAATGTGATAAAGGGGGATTTCAGTTTTGAAATAAAATTCTAGTAGAATCAAAACTGTGAGGCACAAATTAAAATGCCATAAATCCCAGTGACATAGAAGACTGAACACGGTTTAGAGTGTGATATATCAAAAAACAGAAATTTTTAATATTAGTCACTAAATATTCATCCTTTCAATAAATAACCAGAAAAGATGTAAAAAAAAAAAAAAAAAAAATACAAAACATCGACAAAGTTTGTATTTTTCTGCAACTTTTTTGTGCTGTCCTGGCATGCCTGCCTTAGGAACGGGATGTGAAACAAGATGGTAACACCATTGCAGGTGTGGTTTTGATGAATAAGCAAAAATTGAAACTGATCAGCCAGGGCATTTCATAAGTGAAATAAATGCTTATTTTGGTCTTAAAAGAAACAACATATTTATTTTTAGAATTTCCATTCTTGTTTGCAATATGTTACTTATTTTTTACATAAAAATATAACAAACTTTTAAGAAATAAAGCTTACGCAATGCTTATCAAGGACACTCCAAGTAACAACATTTTTAGCTCGACTCGTTGCCACACCGCGAATCTTAATAACTATTCAAAACATTACATCCTGTTGCCACTTAAGAAATCTTTAATAATTATATAGAAACATTAAATTATGTTCCACTACATAGGTTTGCAGTAAGATGCAGCAGCGGAGTGTCATTACGTTTCTGTTAGCTGAAGGGTTGAAACTAATTGAAATTCACTGTTGGATGGTAGTGCAATATGGTGAAAGTTGTTTAAGTTGAACACAAGTATATGACTGGGCACATAAGTTCAAACAGGGTGTAATATGTGTTGAAGATTTGCTACATCCAGGATGCTCTGTATGTGAAGTCACAGAGTGTGAGTTGATGAGTTACTATGGGGAGAAAAGGCATATTACGGTGAGTGATATTGCAGCCCATCATATTGTACATGACATGCTGATGTTCAAGTAAGTGTGTGTGAGGTGGGTTCCAAAACATTCAACATCAGAAATAAAAGAAAGGTGCATGGATGTAAAATGGGAGCTACTATGACAGTACGAGGCTGAAAGGGAGGCATTTCTTTATCATATTATAATGGGAGCTGAAAGTTGGATGCATTTTGCAAACCTGAAAGAAAGTAGGCTTCAGTGGAATAGTGATATTCTTTATCTCCAAAACCCCAAAAGTTGTGAACTGAAAGAAGTGTCATTAAATTCACGTTGACTTTGTTTTTGGACCATAAGGGAGCAATTCTTAAACATTACATACTTAAAAGTCGGAATGTAAACAGTGCAAGCTATGAAAACCTTATGTGTAAAAATCTGAAACTAACAATTTTGAGGAAATGGCATGGATTGGTGTGCAGTGCTATCCTGTTACTGCATGACAACATGAGGCCACACATTGCTAGAGTCACATTATATACCATCAAAGACTTGAAGTTCGTCTACTTGCTCCACTTAAACTCTCCAAATCTAGTACCTTTAGATTTTCACATTTTTAACCCATTGAAAGAAGCTCTTAATGGCTCATGGTTTGCTGGTGATGAGGAAGTCCAGGCAGTATTACATAACTGGTTATGCACATGCCTTAAGAATTCTTTGCACGTGAAACTGAGAAGCTTGTCTAACACTGGCACAAGGTTAGAGAATTTCAGGGATATTACATTGTAAAATAAATGCTGTATTTCATGTTCATAATAGATTCTTTAAAAAAAATTCTGTTCCCCCCTAATTGAATGACCCTTGTATAAGCAGTGTATCACTTAATTTTAAGGACTACACTATAATCATTTATAAATACAGCTCTATGAAATGAAGTTTTTTCTATATCAGTAAGTTAGTACACTTCACAGCCATTACAATTTGCGTAAAAAGTTGCAGCAGTAGTAGCAAAGTGTGTCCCATGCAGTTATGTTGCAATATTCGTAGATACATAGCTAAGAAATCGGAAAATCTCACTCATAAATTTACAGTATGCTGAAACAGGTTTATAATGATGATAATTACCATATTTAAATGCTTTTCAACAATTTAAATGATTTTACTAATATTGGAAAGATTACAATGATGATCAGTGCACAAGTCATAATGTCAACATAATGACTTGTGCATTGACCATCATTGTAATCTTTTCAATCAAGTCATTATGAACACAAGTCTGATTATACCAAGAATTAAGTTTAAACAGTGTAAATTTTATTGAAGATTTCATTTAAACAAAATCATAATTCTTAACAGTTACTATAAGTGAGAACAAAAAGTGTTAATGAAACATTAAGAATACATCACAGTTTATTTGGAGAAGCCACGGATTCTTCTAACTCCAAAAAACATTCCTGTGTAATCTCCTGCAACACGGTACATCATCACAGTCTTTGATTACAGTACAATCACATATATAAATTTTATTTTTAGAATTCTATTTAAAGGCTTCCAGAATTTGGTGAAATAATTCATAGGCCTGGCATAGTATAGATAACAGGACCTTACTGGATTTTTTTTAATCCAAAGAACTATTGAACTTAATCTCCCTAATTATTCTACAAATTCATCCCCTTAAAGGCTATTAACTATTTTCCTAACTAAAACCAAAAGAAACCTATACTATTGATATTAAGAATATCCTACTAATCTCAAATTTCTCAACTATTAAGAATGCTTTAAAATATTCTATGTATGGCTGCAACAAGTGCACTGCGATACAAGGAATGTAAACACTTCATTATATGCCAATAAACTGTTCTTTAAGCTTATCCTGAAAATTATAATATATATGATGGATATAAAAACTAAAATTTAACAAATTCAAATACAAAGCTTGTAACAAACCTTGCTTTCTTTCTTCTTTTCAGCTTCAGCTTCTTTCAGTTTTTCTGAACGAGAAACCTCCTCTGGAGTTGTCGTTGCAGATACTGATGACTGATCGTTCACCTTCTCATCACTCGGGTAACCTCTACTCGGAGGACCTGAAAGAGTGTGGCGCTTGCTTTCGTCTGGTCTTTCAGTTGGTGAGGGACGCTCTCTAGAGTAGCCTGGGGCTGGGGAGGCACATCACAGACAATTCAAAGAGGGAAAGACGAAGGGAAAAGGAAGCAAATACAAAGGCATGCACAGACATTCAGTTAGTTAAGCACAGCTGCCATCTTTAATACCATATGTTAAGAAAAATAGTTTACTACCATTTCTAAGACAAGGCAATGGGATTGTCCATTTCAGAGCATTACAAAACTACTTTGCAAGCAAGACACCAACTTACGTTTGATTAGATATTAAAAACACAGAAATCTGAATACTAATTAATAAAATTGGAATTCATGAATACTATAAACAGACTCTCGGTCAGGCAGTTTTATATATGAGGCATAACAAGATAGGCCTTCTTGTGGTTCATCCTGAGTAATCTTAGATCCAAAACAGATTATGGGGTATAAAAATACTCAGTATCTCTAACCCCGGTAGCATGAAAGCCAGACTATATTATTTATTCATTATTACTTTAAGTGCTGAAAATGCCTTTTGTAAAACATTTCTTTCAATATCAAATGAAAATTCTTTTAACTATGATTCTTAATATGGAAATACATAGCTGGATATCTGGAAATAACAAATTATACGTGTGGTTGCCTTTTAAGATTTTACAATTGAACAATAGATGGCATTAGTGAGTTGTGGCATCAGTGTGTTTGTGAACACTGATGTTTGTTAGTGCGAAGCCAGTGGCAATTTAGTAATTGACCAGTTAGGTTGTTGATAGTGAATGTTTAAAACAAGCAAGTTTGTGCAAAAATGGAAATCACTCGTGAAGGTTTGCATTGGATGATTTTTCATATTTTAAAAGATGCCTTGCCCAACAACAATGCATAGAATCGCTTCATGTAACTTTTGGTAATGAAGCACCATCAAAGAAAACTGTTTACAAATGGTTTGCAGAATTTCGTCATGGTTGTGAGTCCATCAATGATGAATGTCAAGAAGGTCGGCTAAACTCAGTTGACATTCTGAGAAACATAGTCCTACTGTATTCACCTGACGGAAAATGAATGCTTCTAATTATCCTATGAACCTGAAATAGCTAACAGACATATTTTTTACCCTAGCTACTGACATGCAGGCTGAGAGGATTGTTTGTTTTTAAATGAATGTACATTATATGAAATGAGCCACTATAGAATTTTATCTACTCCACACCTTTACAAATTCTGAAACTGCCAAAGGTATAAATAAATCCTCAAGAAAGAAATTTTGAAGCATTTTCTTATTTTTCCAAGTGAACAAATCTGGCTAGAAGAATTTGGTCTTTTTTTTTTAATTCCCCTCAACTGTCTTAAATTTTAAATAGAATTTTTTAAAAGAAAAGAAAGAAAGGGGGGGGGAGAAAAGAAAAATATAGAAGAAGAAAAGAAGTCAAGATTTTTTTCTTTTCATGCACATTTAATTTGCTGGATAATCATTACATCTCGCATTTAAGTAGGAAAATGGATACTAGACAGATATCCATTATATTCCACATTATAATGTCTATCTACAATAAAAGCACATGGAATGTTCTTGGAAAGTGAGAGCTAAGACACTTGGATGCATTCCTCTAAATAATCTTTATCAGAACATATAAAAGTCATACTGTCATCTTTAACAATCAAGACCTTTGATCGGTGATTGATGCCCACTTTGCCCGACCAATGATGCACACTTTACTCCATGATTTGTTTAAGTGTGTCAATGACAGAATAAACAAAACAATAAAATTACTCATAAATTCAATATACAAGGGTTTTCAATATATAAAACTACTTGTCAACATACAAGTAGTTTTGAACTGTTCAGCTATCTTCCCACGACAAGTGCAATTTCAATGCACAAAGGTTTTCTTTGAGTAAATTTTTATCTGCTTGTTACAAAAGGTGAAATATTATACACCTGATTAATGCTTTCTGTCTCCTTTATGACTAAATCAATTTGTTTAAATCCGAAAATAAAGGACAGTTTCTCCAATAAGATTAATGGTAGTAGCAGGTTTTTGACATAATGGTACTATTATAAATAAAAGTAGATCCAAAAATATAACTTTATCTAATATTAAATCATTATCTATCATTTTCCTCACAAAATTCCTACATTCAGGAAAGTGTTCCAACAACAGGATGATAAAGCCTCTAAAACTATACATTACGTTCAGTAGAATTAACTGAAATCTAATAACTGAAAATAAAATTGGTGATATTAATAATGACACTATTATTTTTTCTCATTTCTGGGTGAATCTAATGAAATTTCTTCCAGGAAGCCTGTGGTTACAAGGTTTGTGGAAAACAGGTATATTGTGGTCTAAATGATCTTCAAATTTAAAAGAAGAACACATATGTTTGACACTTTCATACAGAACTATACATTAAGAATTGAAGCATTCAGAATGAATATGTTGTATAATATAAATCCAGTAATTAATAATAAAATTTGTATAGTTAAAATTGTTATATGAATAATTACCAATCATCTCTGCATATAATTTCATTTATATAATAATTCTGAACTAACTAAAAAAGAAGTTTTTTCCCCCCTTAACAAAAATCATTGTTAAAGAAAACAGAAAATACAGTGAAACCTCACAGTACAACAGTGAAACCTCTTGTTTTCTTTTTTTTTTTTTTTTTTTTTTTTTCTTTTTTGTTTTTTTTTTTTTCATTACAAACAATTTTTAGGGACCAATAAATATATTGTTGTAGAGATGCATATTGTTATATCCAGGCCCCACATATTTTGAGCATTTAATAAGTTTTTTTTTTTATTATTATTAGTTTAAGGTGCATAACATACTACTTTTAAGTCTATATTTAGAAGAAATTAATTTGTAAAATACTAATAATAGTGGTTTAAATACTAAATAAATAAATAAGATAAATTCAGAAAATAAGCACAGAAATATTCACATACCTGAAAACACTTTTTATTGAAAATAATCCAATATTCTGTTTGTTTATTGATTTTTTTAACTGTTAAGTTCACCAATACTGTATGCATTGAGTCTAGTGCACGAAAATGTTCTTCATTTGAAGACGGAAGGCTTGAAAAAAATGTCCGTAGAGAATTCACAGATTGAAGAGCTTCCTGGGATGACAATAAGGACTGCAATGGACCTGTATTATCATCATCATCATCTTCATCATTGTTTCCTATTTCATCAGTAATTTCAGAGAGAATATCTTCATCAGTAACTCCTGCGAAAACCATAAGATCATCATCTGCTGTTAAAAATAGTCTTCTATACTAATTCCAAACTTTTTAAACCGCTTGTTTCCTCAAGTTGGGATACGGATTTTTTGATGTGCAAAACACATTCTTGATCATCTGAGAGATCATTGTCTATGGAATTTTCATCATTATCAGATTTCTTATCTTCCATAACACAAAGACCGGCCTTTTTCCAACAATTCCAAATGGTTTTTTCTGTTACTTCCCACCAACTTCCAGCAATATTGTCACACGCTTCCTTGACATTTACAGCTTTGAAAGGGTCTTCTACTTTATTTTCGAAGTTTACAAGTATGGAGTCCACCAACCATTTCTGTAATATCCTTTGAAGCACTTAATTATGCCCATATCAAGAGGCTGTAAAATTGAAGTGCAATTGGCAGGGAAAAAGCGATTTCGATATTTTGTTGCTTTGGAAATGATGTGTGAGCATCGCAGTTATCTATCAACAAAACGATTTTTTTCTTTCTCTTCTTCATTTCATTGTCTAACTTCTGTAACCATTTGGAAAAAAATTTAGACGTCATCCAAGCCTTCTTATTTGCTTTATACTCCACGGGAAGACTTTTCACGTTCTTGGCTTCAATGATTTACCAATGACGAGAGGTTGTATTCTATGCATTCCTGTGCTATTTGTACACAGAAGAACAGTCAGTCTCTGCTTTGATCTCTTCCCTCCATAACACTTTTCACCCTTGAATGCCAATGTTTGATCGGGTAGGAGTTGGAAAAACAGCCCAGCTTCATCTGCATTATAAATGTCTTCTGGAGCATACTTTTCTAAGATTCTTTCATCTTGTTTTGCCGCCATTCATTTGCATCGTTTATGGGGGCTGACTTTTTCTCTCCCGTGAACTTCTTGGAAAGTTATTCCATGACGATCTCGAAAAAGCATTAACCAACCATTGCTAGCTTTGAATGTTTCGTTCCCTAGCATTGCTGCAAATTTCCGTGCTTTTGCACATAATAAAGGTCCATTTATTGGGACATTTGTTGCTCTCATTACTTTAAACCATTTTAAAACAGCAGCATCAATGTTTTCATTTGTCACAACTTTCAGTCGTTTTCGCTCTAGGTTAATTTCATTTGAAGTTACAGCATCTTCGATTTGCTTTCTCTTCTTTAGGAACGTTGCAACTGTAGATTGCGATAATCCATGTTTCTTAGCCACATCAATCTGCTTCATTCCCTCATCAATATCATTGATAACGTTCAGTTTATCTCGAAAAGATGGTTGCTTTCGCCCTGCCATCTTAGGGAACAATATCGCGTGAAAGAAAGAAAAGTTTAAACCAAATGTTTCGCGTAGAAACTTAGAATCGTTAAAGACTATAAAAACAACCTTTGAACTCACTTTTCAGTACGTCACTTAACAAACACCCGCCTCCATCTCCCCCTGTTTCCTCTAACAAAGGGCACTTGTTCTGTGACAAGGTACCAGACAGGTCTAGATGTCCTTAAACCTTATCAGAATTCCAAAGCTTACTGGGAAATGAGACTAGGCATACATTTACACTTCACCCGCCTCACCCACTCCAATTCCCAAAAGGGTGGTCTTCATCTGTTTTGAAATCTGAACAATAGCTATTTATTCAGGGATAAGTTGAATATCCACAATGAGTCTTAATAGATGAAAAAAAAATAACAAAAGAAAATGAAAAAAAAAAAAAAAGCATTTGGAAATCAAAATATTATTATAAAGGGAGAAAATAATACTGAAATTTAGATTGAAAAAAATCGTTTTACAGAGGTTTATTGTTCTAGAGAATATAGCAATATTGAGGGGAGATTAACATTAGTTTATATGCAAAATAAGCGGGACCACAAAACATTATTGTAGTAGAGGGAGTTATTGTTGTATCGGGTATTGTTGTAGTGAGAGTTTACTGTATATTATAAATTATTATTAGTCAATTGAATAAATATTTCAAATACAGTAACCTGAATTTACATTAGATAAAGCTATTGATTCAGAAAACCAATTATGCTAAAAATAACTAATTAAAGTTAGTTATTTTTAGACGGCAACACTAAAATTGGTTGCTGTTTTAATCGGTCCTTTATATTGTCATTTTATTACATATTTGAATTTTAAAATAGCATTTTAGTGACACTAACTAAGAAATAACAAACTAACTAAAAAAGGACTAACTTATATGAGGAATCATGTAGCATCGTATACTACATAAGATGATTTTTTGTCATTTGCACAGAGAATCAAATACTTTTATTTCACTGCACTAATATTACTGTGACCATTAAGAAATAACACGATTTGTGTTTCATTTTTGAGTCCACTTTACAATTTTGTATGCATCACATTTGTGATTACATGTAACATAACATGGATTTAGATTTAAAATTGCATGAATTTATATATATATATAAAATATAAAGGCTTTGCTCTACGCGAACAGGCAACCACTAAGTAACTTTCTGCAATTTCAGGAGCTTCCCCCTAGAGCAGTACTTTCGAGGACATTTGGGCATGTAACGTAACCGGTGCTATAAATCAAGAGTTCGTGCCATTTTCCATCAGATTGCTTTTCTCCGCCTGCCGAATACATTTTTGTTGCTGTCCTGTCTTTTCTTGTTTTAATAGTATGATGCAGTAAATTTAAAGTGAATTATATTCAGTCTAAATTGCTATCGCATAAGTAATCTTGAATGATCTGCCATTTGCATTAAATAAAGATATGGAGCTAGAAAGTTTAATTCTTTGGTGTCGTCGTTTGATGTCTTACTTACACTCAGCCACAACAATGTCAGGAATTCTAATGTGACCAGATTGCCAAGCTCCACTCATGTGCCCAACTGCCACAATACTACACACACACACACATATATATATAGAGAGAGAGAAATTTACTTTGAAAAAGTCAAAAATAAATTATAAAATATGAGACAGGCTCAAATAATGGAGCAATCAACAACCTAGCATTTTATCTGAAATGCAAAAATATCCTATTTACAACATATGTATTTTGGAGAAAATTCTTTGACATTTTCTTTTTAGTATTTGATTTTATGCATAAAATTTTCAGCATAGAAATTTGACTAATATGGCTTTCCAGAATAAAATAGTTATTAGTGTATGCATGGCAATTTTTGGTGCAATTACCTCCCAAATTACTTTAAAAAAAAAACCGACTTTTAAAAAGATATCTAAAAGGTTTAATTGTTAGCTTCTTAAAAAACAATTTCAAAATTCTTCCACAGTTCATATATAAATTTAAAATATCAAAAATATTTGCAAAGACCTGACTACTGCAAACTCTTCTATTTCAGGTACAAAACTTCTTTATGGCAAAAGTACATAACAAAAATAACTGAAAAATGTGACAAATTCTTCAAAAAAAAATATGACTTTATAATTAAAAATAAAGAAATATACACTTAAAAGACCAACATTAAAAAAGGAAAGAAGGGGGAAAAGGGGAAAAAAATCTCCTTAATCAAAAAATAGCCTGAACATTTAATAATGCCTACACCATACAACTGACAACTGACATCTGACCTTTGAAATGACCAAGTTATTCATTTACATGAAACACAAATTACTTTTAGACACAGCAATTCTATGCTTCTGAAAGGAATCTTCAATGACTAATATTTAGATGGTGAATTTTAAAAAGTGAAAATGCATACATAACTTATCAGTTAGTTATAACTAACTGATAGTTAGTTACTTGGTTCAAAATAAAGCATTGTCAATGACTGTTGAATTATTAATTTATAATTTACTTGACCAAAATGCTATCTATATGCCTAGTTCAAAAGTCTTAGTAGAAAAAACTTCAAAAGTTCCTTTAGGATAAATATTTTGAAAAATGTGGTTTAAATAATTCAGCATCTGTGGATTCATGGAATTTATTTTTGAAAGTGGAAAACGTGGCACTTGAATTTTCCCACAGTGAAACACACTTAGAGCTCTTCAAAAGAATTAGTATGACTGTATCAAAACTACAATACATAAATTTATGATATTATAAGTAACTTAATTGTTACTTACAAATAATTACTTAAAAGTAATTATATCTAAAGTCATATAAATGCTTCTACAAACACCAGTTTAACATTAAAACTAACTACATACATAGTAAAACATACAAGACATAGAAACTTAAAACAGTTAATCAAATAACTAAAACTTATTTGAAACTGACAGATATAAATATTAAGATGAAAATCGAAGCAAAAATATTTTAAAATTTGAAGCACAAAATAATTACACTGCAAAATTGATCTCACATTGCATAAGCAAGCAAAAAGCTTTATGATATGTCATTAGCAGAACAGAGGTTAACACTTGGAAAGATTCAGGTGATGTTATAAACAGCAGGACAAGTTACTGCCACTCTAAAGAGACTTTCACAAAAGGTATTTGACATCAAAAATACAAATAACATAAGAAAATTCTCTCATACAATAGTTTGCATGTGCAGGTAGTTTCTGTATTGCATGTTGGCTGCAATAATACCACACCTCAAAAAACCTTACTTTTCAGTATAATCAAAAAATAAACTCAGCTTTTCAAAAATTCGTCCTATAAATTTTTGAAATCATGTATGGCAAAGCAGTTCCCACACATTTAAAAATTAGTACATAAATGATATTCAGATTCATTCCACTTAACCCCTACCAGACAAATTAACTGTTTTGTTGTTTTTGTTTACAAAAACCGGGTTCTTCTGCTTTGATTCTAATTTTAAACGTGACTAACGCTTTGAGAACTCGTACACACCACGTATTCATTCACACAAAGATTAAACCAAAATGTAAAATACAGATTCAATTAAAAGTATAGTTTTCAGGCCGTTTTATTTTTGAAGTGCATGTTTTGGATCTGAACTTACACATGAACTTTAAGGTGACAGTGCCTCAGACCTTTGTTCTCTTCCTCCAATTTTTCCATGAGAACAATATTATTTTGCCTCATTATAAATCTGAACCTTTCTAATCCCAATAAAATACACTCAACCACCAATTTTTAAGGTGTGAAGTTACAATAGCCAACAAGCAACTTGCTTAACTCATCATAACAAAGTTGTGTGAAAATGTTAATAGAATTCTGAATTTATATGCAATATAAAAAAGAAAATTAAGCGCAACAGGAAAAAAAAAAGAGCAATACTATGAAATATTTTTATTAAAAATCTTTATCACAAAATAATTGTATAAATTCTAACCAATGCTATGAGTATCGCTTATTACTTTTTTTTTTTTTTATTTATTTACAAATGGCACGATAATATAAAAAATTTCCATTTACTTAAATTACTCAAATCTTGAACATTTAAATGATGTCTGCATATAGTGTTTTGGTGGGGATATTCTTAGAATATTAACAGCAGCATGCTGGAAATATTTAGAAACTCATATCATAAATAGTAAACCACATACCACCATCCATGCTCCGAGATGCAAACCGTTTATTGCTTAATGTTCTTTCAAAATGAGGAGGAGGACGATCAATTAGGGCACTAGCTTGTCTAGTTTGATACTGTGTCCTACCAGAATATCTAAATTTTGATCCAAATCGAGGCAAAAATAACTTTGGCTTTGGTGGAACTTCTGGAGCCATCAATCTGAAAAAAATTAAATGTGTAAAAATTTTTATTACACATTTTATATACACATAAAATTAGTACATTCAAACAAAAGGAAATTTTTTCAGAAAAAAATGCATGTGTATTCTTTTAATATGTATGTACACAAACAAAATCTACTATATGAAGAAGGTATAAACTTTTATTTAATCTCTTGAGTGTGGCATTACCATCTTTATCCAGGCATGAGATTTTTCATTTGGTATTGTATTACCTTATTATTTAAAATACTTTGGTTTATTATTTAATGATTTAAATATTATCCTAGTGAACAAAAGTTTATGGAAATAATTAATTATAAAAACTTAAGTACAGTTTAAGTACAGTTCTTCATAAGGGCTATGTTTATGTTCTTTGTAAAGAAAATTATTCATACCTAGTTATTAAAAAATTTTAAAACCATAGTTTTTTACATATAAGGTTACAATAGTTAATGTTAATAACAAAGGGGAAAAAACACCAAACTTTGGCTTCAAGTGGAAAAACTGTTCCAAAGACTTATCTCCAAGGAAAAAACAGAACATTCTGAATGTTGCAAAAGTAAGATCTTTAATGTTACAAGAATCTACCAAGTCAAAGGAGGGTTGCAAAATCATTAAAATATTCAGTGTCAACTGTAAACAAAGTGATCAATGCTGATTTGAATCTTAAAAACGAGAAAAAACATAATGTGCACATCTTTTTCCACACCATATCGCTGAATGCAGAACACACTGTGGAACTTGTTATGAGAAACTTTTATCCAGACAAAAATGGAAAAGTGTTGTCACAATAGACAATATTATAATCAACAAGGAGAAAAAAAAAATCTTAAAACATGGTTCAAGGAATCTAAAGAAAGTTTTTCTAAGGGATTTATAATTGTTCTGGTTTTCATATAAAGTCAAATTAAAAATAAAGAGAATGGAGAAAAATGTTAAGATCAGCTCCACATACTGTCAAAAACATATTTTATACCCAATTTTCAAACATGAAATACCTTCTCTTCCCCCACAGTGTAATCAAACAGTAAAACTGCTTCAAGACAAAGCAGCGACAAATCAAAACCTACTGTTAATTTCCTGGAAAAAAAAATGAAACAAGAAAACAAGTATCAACCCTTCACTCACATCCCTACTCTCTTGTTTTATCACCAATGTATTGGATTTTAATGAAAGATTCCCGTCACTACAAATACTGTCTGCTCAAACAGTTCACGTTGCCGTGTTTAATCATATTTTGTAAAATTAATTTTGGCATTCGTTTTCTTTTAGAATACTGTGCTGTGAAAAATGTAAAAAAAATATCGTTATCATTAAGTACAAGGTGTCTGAAATGGAACTACTTCCAGTTCTGTTGCAAAAAGTCAGCCACAGAATATCACCAAATCATGTGTACAGCTTGTACTAATGTTCTTATATGACAATGCTTGCTACCGAAAATTCAAAAACAAGGAAAGGAACAAGGATATTCAAGAAGCAGAGCAGTCTGGCTGGCCTCCGAGAAGAGCGGTAGACAGCGGTACAAGCAGAGCGGTAGACAGCCTCCGAGAACTTGTGCAATAAGATCAGTATGCAACCACTTGAGAGCTTGCTAAGGAGTTAGACGCTAATGCCATATCCATTAGTTGCGCACTATGCATCGCATAAACTTTGCTGGGTGTCAAGGAACTGACTCAAGCAGATACAGACAGACGGATTCTCTAATCTGCTTGAATATCAACGTAAGGATAAAATTCTGGAATGGATTATCACTTGTGATGAAGTGGATTTACTTCAACAACAAAGGCCGAAAAGGGGGCTAATCTGTGCCCAGTGAGCCCATCAACAGCTGATGACAGACTCACATTCAAAGAGCATGCAATTACTCAAGGAAATAAAGCAAATGGAGTCTTCATGATGCTCTATAATCCAATAGGAAGGAAGTCTCAACTAAGCATAAATGCTAAACGTACAATCTACCTTACCCTGATTAAACCTATGACTACCCGCCTCGGCATGTTGCAAATAAAACCGGAAGGAGAAAACTAGAAATCCTTCAGAACAAAATTTTGTGAGCAATAACAAACATGCCCCGGTTTGTTAAGAATACCATTATTCATGCCGATCTGAAAATCAAGCCTATTTCTGAACAGATTTTCATGGATACACACAATTTTTTTGAAAAAAAATGGATAACTCCCCAGTCAGTACGTCAATTCATCATAACGTGAAGTGATGATTGTAAATATTGTATATATCGCACTGTACACATTTCTTTATTATGCTCTCCTCTACTTTTTATTATTTCTATTTAAATTTATTTAACCAAGATTAGTGTATTTTGCCAAGACTTATTGCCTGGTAGAGCAGGCTATAGACTCTACGTTATTATATTATTGTGTAAAGAATTGTGTTAATTATATGTGATCTATTTTACCAAGATTAGTGTATTTTGCCAAGATAGGATTTAGTGCCTGGTTGGTTGGTTGATTTTTTAATGGCACAAAACCTCGAGACTTAGTGCCTGGTAAAGCAGGCTATAGACTCTATGTTATTATTTTCTCGTGTTTGTGTAAAGAATTGTGTTAATATCATGTGATCTCACCACATCCACCGAATTCTCTCAGGTAGGGTTACTACGCTGCAATCTAGAACAAATTCTAAGCTCATGAACTTGAACTAAACTGGATGTCTTATGGGATCAAATGCCTTATAAATATGAACTAAATTTTTTTTCCTTCGCTAAGTGTTGTGATCGCCAACTTGACTGCCAAAGACCGATTGCACAGTGCACTCTCTTTCTGTGCCTTCGGGCAAGGTGCAGTTGACCCCTAATTATTCTATAACCGTGATTGGCCTTTTATGTGGACTCGGATAGAACAGGTAAAAACTCTCAGAAGTTGTACACTTGATGTGACAAAGACACAAAGCATAAAACCATCAGCAGTGTCGCAAAGAGCAATTTGACTAACAAAAAGATCATGCTTTGTATCCGGTGGGATTGCTGTGGTATTATCCCCAAAGATTACCTGGACAAAGGTAAAACCCTTGACAATATGTTGTACAAGCGAGATGCTATTCCATGTTAATGATGCTATCAAGGAAAAATGTGGAACCGAATTCTGACGCAAAAAGGTAATGTCCAACATGCATCTGCGTTCACTGGCTGGACTCTATATAGACTGAAATGGGACCTTTTGTCACAGCCACAACATAGCCCCAAACATCACTCCTTTGAATTTCTACCCTTTTTCACACCTGCAGCTACATCTTGCAGGTGCGATCTTCTATTCGGCATGAGGTTGATTTTTTTTTGGACTCGGGGCCACCAAACTTTCGTGCTGAATACTTTGATAAACTACTAAAATTTTGGTGGAAAATCATAGATTTGGGTGGTGGATTACTACCCATTACAGAGGTATTGCTTTCATGTTTTTTTTACTAACTTATTAAGAATGTTTTTTGGCACAAAACTTTCGTTACAACCATATATTTTTGCACGTTGGGACTTTTAAAGTGGATGGTTCAAACGCCAACCTACAGACCCCTTTGGAAAGCAGCTGTTTGAGAGCAATGGGATAAAATACCTCTTCCAATACTACAAAAGGCATTGTCTAAAAAATTACAGTGTATAAAGATAGTGAAGAATAAGAGTTATCAAATGGGGCATTTAAAACATAAAAATTTTAGGTAAAATATTTCATTTATTACAATGAAAATTGTCTAAAAAATATGCGAACAGCTTCTGTATTATACTGGAAACAAGAAAATTCTTGTCTATTAGCTTCTTGGAAACTTATTTACAAGAATACCCCACCTTTATATATAAATTACTTCCTAAGAGTAATTTATAGTTCTGCAAACTAAGGAATAATTATTAATTAAAATTTTGTCCTCCACTAATGTTATCTCAATGATATATAGCAGATAAATGTTTTGTAGTGGGCAGAAAATTTTTTTGATATTTTTTAATTCTTTTGTTAAATTTAACTTAAATTTTATATAATATTGGAAAGTGATGCCGGTTGCCATGATGCTCTTAAAGATGGCTCTTTGTTAAGACATAAATTTATTTATAGCTTTTCCGGGAGAACAGTGAGTGAGAAAATTAACTTTCATTTACAGGCCAAACATAAAAATCATGTTGAATAATAAAGATTCTTTTCAAGAAAAGTAAAAGTATTAAAATAAACCAATTTGAAACTAAATGTTAAAGAAAGTTTACTTAGTGAAGCAGTTTAAAATAGCCATAAGTTATTCATAATTACCAGAATGTTTTAAAACTTACTAAAAAAATATTTCAAATTAAAAAATAAGTGTGAATTTGATTGTATTGCTTAATGATTAGAAATTATGACATTAAAGAAATATGACTTGTAATCACATTTCTTTAAAACAGTCTGTAAATACTTCTGGAAACTCAAATATTTTATTTTTATGAAAAATGTACATAAATACACTTGATATGATATACAGAAGAATACAACACATATATATGGATATTTTCTTCCACTGAAATACAAGATTCCTAAGCATCTTCCGAATTTTATTTTATTTTTTTTAAAGAGGGGCATCAAATGATTCATACTAACCATAATACTCAGAAAATATTAGGCAAATGGAGTCTAACTTTGCATAAAATTTAGAGAGATGAACTATACAAGATTTAAAAACCATCATTTCTACTACACAACAGGGAATTAAAAAAACATTTGATTAAAGGTTTAGGAAATGGATTACATAAATAACAAATTTTTATGTCGCTCATAAGACATACTAAAAATATGATTTAAATAGTGTGATTTTCTTCACAACAGAAATCTTTTTATGTACTATACAGGCAGAGGAAAAAAAAAAAAAAAAAAAAAATTGTTTCAAGACAATAATCCTTCATTTTATTTATTTACTTAATAAAATCTTAACTTTTACTAACCTGAAGAATGTGTGATGCTCTACACAAACTTTCCATAAACGTTTTGCAGCTTTGTGATTATGCAATTTAAAGCCAATGGTACTTTCAAACCGGTCAAACTGGAACAAGTATTGTAATCAATTTATACAGTTACAAAAGCTACAAATGTTAAATTTCATATTTATATGCATCAGTGTCTTCAAAAAAGCATTTTAAGAAATTGATAAACTTTTTTACCAATGAAGAAAAACATTTCAATGAAAATCAAATTTTGGCAACATTTGATTAAAAAAGTAAACATTTATTTGTATGCATACCGTTTTAGACTGACTCTAAAATAATATGTACAAGCAATAACTACAAAAGCTATTATTTTCCTCCAAATATTATAACTCGTCAATCAAATGAAATAATTTAATATATGTTCACACATTTATGCTTCAATACTGTTAAAATGAATTTTCTAACTTCTGACCGAAATGGTTTAGAATCTCTCGAAGTTTCCCTGGTTTCATAATACATATATATGAAATACATCATGTGCTGGAATGGTATCTTGCCCTCCAACAGAAACAAGCAGGCTTGACATCTGAACATTTTGGCATAAAATGCATCATCAATACTCCTGGGTTTTAGTTCTAAAGTTTTCATGGCCTTTTTCTTAAAAAATAAAATACTTCTTTGTTGAAGTGGCACCACAAATGCTTTGGCAAAATTTAGTGATATTTAATATTAATTTGGCTAAAATTAGAAACTATGGCAACCTTTAAAAACCGAAAAACTGCAATGTATGTGAGAGGGGGAATAACATTCACAAAAATATGAAGGAATGAAAGAAGAATGAAAAGTGCATCATGATACCAAAGAATGATCAAACTAACTACCACTTAATTAAGAAACAATTACACGCCGAATAAATACTAATTCAGAAGTCAAACCATCCAACTGGTGGAAACTCACTACCACTTACCATCCAACTGGTGGAAAGTATAAAAAGTCAGTATTAGAAAGAAAATAATTAACAAAAGAACATATCATATGATCCAAAATGAGGATGGAAATCAAATATTATAAATATCATAAAAATTACTGCTTCTTTTCTAGTTAATTATAAGCTAAAAATGGTAAGTATTTTAAAGGAAAAAGAAATATTGAATTGGTAATATCACACACACATCATCATAATCATATTAACATGAAAACCAAATCTGTTCAACATTAAAAATCTGATGGTTATATTTGCCAAGATTAGTGACTAAATTTCTGATTTTGGCAACAGATCAAATTAGCTACTTTTACAAAGAAATATTCAAAATAAATAAATAGATAAAATAAAAAAAATTTAATTAAAATTTATAACAACAACATAGAGAAAAAAGAAGCCCTGAATGCCAGGTGTAGTGGCCAAAGGTTTTTGAAATAATGCAAGCACCACAAAAATTCCTCCATTTTGAAGATCAATTTTTAAAATGTACTAGCGGACAAGCCCGCCAGCTGAAGCGAAGCCAGCTGATTTTCGCTGAAGCCCGCTTATCATTGTTCGTTTTTAAAAGAATTCCCATGTTGAATTTCGCCTATATTCGAAAGCTGGACCGAACTACCAGTGTACGTCGATTTTACCTTTGCTGCGGCCCCTTTAATAACGTATGCATTCACAAGCTACTGCATACAAGTTACACATGCATAAAATCACGAAAACACCCATGCACCCAGCCTGCTAGCCGGGATTTGAAGTTGAACCGAACTACCAGTGTCCAGCGGTTTTGCGCGGGCTGTACCCGTTTTTTTAAAGTATGCATCCAGAATATACTGCATACACAACATGCATGCAGAAAATCACGAAAACACCCATAGAGCCAGCCCGTTGGCCTTTATTCGAAAGTTCGTCTGAACTACCAGTCTTCAGCGATTTTACCCGGGCTGCGCCCGCTTTATTCGCATATGCATCCAAAAGATACTGCATACACATGCGGAAAATCATGAAAACATACATGGAGGCAGTTGGATTGAACTACCAGTGATCAGCAGATTTGCGCGGGTTTCGCCTGCTCTATTCTCGTATGCATCCAGAAGATACTGCATACACGACACACATGCGTAAAATCACGAAAATACCCATACAGACAGTTCTTTAACGGGTATTCGAAAGTTGGACTGAACTACCAAAGTTCAACGGTTTTGCGCGGGCTGCGCCTGCTTTATTCACATATGCATCCAGAAGAGACTGCATACACGATACACATGCATAAAATCACGAAAGTACACATGCAGCCAGCCCGTTCGCCGTCATTCAAAAGATGGACCGAACTATCAGTGTTCAGCGGATTGGCGCGGGCTGCACCCACTTTATTCACGTATGCATCTAGAAGATACTGCATACACGATACACTTGCGGAAAATTAAGAAAACATCCATGCAGCCAGCCTGCTCGCTGGAATTCGAAGGATGGACCTAACTACCAGTGTTCAGCGCGGACTGCGCCCACTTTATTGGCGTATACGTCCAGAAAATACTGCATACATGATAAACATACTTAAAATCACGAAAACACCGATGCAGCCAGCCCGATCGCCTTTATTCGAAAGCTGGACCGAACTACCAGTGTTTAGCGGTTTGCGTGGGCTGCGCCTGCTTTATTTACGTATGCATCCACAATATACTGCATACACGTTAAACATACGGAAAATTATGAAAACACCTATGGAGCCAACCCGTTTGCCAGGATTCGAAATTTGGACTGAACTACCAGTGTTCAGCGATTTTACTGCTCAGGCTTTTTGCCAAGTGTAACCACAAAACTTTTCGAGTATAGTATTCAAACAGTAGATTCGTTAGTAAAATTCCTTTTGATAAACTTCAACATAATCACACACAAAAGTGCATCAATATATATATTAATGTAATTAATCAACCATAATTATTTATAATAAGAAAACTTTCCATATACCATGTTCAAGCAACAGAAATTCAATTTAAAAAAAACCTGAACGAAAAAAAATTAGTCAGAATTTAAATAAATAGTTTATTTATATTTATATTATTTTTTTGCAATTAAAATTTCTTAATTTAAATTAAATTTAATATTAGCTTTATGCGAACAGAAACACTTGTTACCAAAAATACAACAATATATATATTAATGCACTTATATATGTGGGAAATGTTATGTCATGATATTCCCCAATCCCCTACTGTGTGACATATGCATTGCGTCACCATGTGTTTCCCGCCTTCGGGGGAACAGTAGGATTAGCTGGCGAGCGGAGCACACGTCGCTCGATCGCTCGTATACCATTTTCATTAATTGTAATCCTAATGTAGCCTATATTTGTAAAGAGTAATAAAATGTGTGTTATAACTATGGTCGTTGCCTTTCCCCACATTTTGGGGGCTCGACCGTGCCTTTTGTGCATGCGTTAAACGAACCCTAGACACCAGCAATCACTAAAGACTTTCAGAAAGCTAACAAAGGCAAGACGTGCCTTTATGACGATTATGACGATATTCTTCAAGCCGATCATTCGATATATTATTTATGACGATATTCTTCTTCAAGCCTGACGACGTATGTGAACATGACGTAAAGACGTGCCTTTATGATGATTTAATATTCTTCAAGCTGGACGACATATGTGAATGATGTTACATGCTACTTGTCCGTTCTTCTGATTTTGGACGTTAAATCGAAATTCAATTTTGGATTACATTGGATTGGCCAAGAAATATATCGGATTATAAGGACTGCCCCGACGTTAGGTAGGGACCATTTTCCCCTGGATTCGTTCATAATTTATTAGTATTACGATTTTAAGCTGTGTTTATACTGTTTAATTCTCATTCATACATACCCTATTTCATATTCATATTGTCCTATTTTCCTGTTTAAAGAACTATGGCCCTAAAATTAGGTGATATCCCATTGATAGCGAATTCTCTCAAATATGGCACAAGACGAGTTATTAAATTATTTAATACCATGCTCGGATATTCCGATTTTGATCATTCTTCGCGAAAGCGAATGCGAAAATTTTACCGCTACGTTCCCAGATTGTTTCGATCTGGCAAAACTTAAAGAACTTCTATTAAAAGATTTTTCTTTATCAGATTTTATATCAGGTAGGCTAATTTATTGCACTTTGGAAGCTTCCACTAATAAAGATGTTTTATGTGAAAAAAATTTTCATGCTCTCACTAATCTGACCGGATTTTTACAATTCCCTAGATGTTAGTTTTTTATCCGATGACGATCATATTCAATTTCAAACACCGACAGTGCACCGACGCCTGTAGGTCTAAGTTCTTCTGTTCCCCCTTCCCCTCCCTCCACAGCGGCGGCAAACCTAAATCGGCGTTGTTTCTTCTGACGCGGAAGTAATAAATTTGAATTCGAGTCGCTCCGGTGTTTATATGACGGCGAACACCGAGATTCGCGAGATTAGTCATGATTTATTGTTTATTTGAGAGATCTTTCAAACACTTGCAGAAACTTTTCAGGCAATGATTCCTATTCAGTCCGTGCTTTTTTCAACGATTAGAGGATAATTTTCCAATTATTTCCAAATCTTACCGACCAGCAAAAATTAGTTTTGCGAAACGACTTGTTGTGGGTACTGCTACAACTTTTTTGTTTTCACAACGAAATCTCATTTACACGACATGTTTAAAACAGTATTAATTAAGTTCTCCGATAAAATTACGTCTATTGAAATTCATAAACAACTCGAAAGAAGAAAAATGCGCTCGAATGAAAGCTCTTTGCAATATTTTATCGCAATGCGCGAAATTGCGAATCGTGGTGACGGTGTTATCGATGAGGCTTCTGTCATTCAGTATACCAAGTATTCAAGGAATACTAGGTACCTTGTAAATTATTCTCTACGGTGCAAAATCATATTCTGAATTCAAGGAAAAGCTACGCACTTATGAATCTGTAGTTACGACTAGACATACAAATATCTCTCATCCATCAAATTTTAAAAATACGAATAATGGCCCCAGACGTGGTACTGGACGAAAAAATTCAGACCAACAACACGACACGAAATTTAATAATACTGGTCCATCTAAAACTAAACCACAAACTTGTTTTAACTGCAATGAGGTCGGACACTTCTCACGG